TGTGAGGTTGTAGTTGTGAGTGGGGTGGGGAGCATGGGGATACTTGTTCAGCCCTAAGGCTGGTCGCCCTGAGTGTTGCCATGGGCAGTGGCATCGGCATAGCTACTGTGGTCTTTGGTGAGACTATTGCAGAAGAAGCAGGGTCTTTATGAGGAATGGATAGGCAAACTGTAGATTCTTGGGCTTTGAAAGTCAGAGGAATTTGCCTTTGAGCCTGTAAGCAATAGGGAGCCATGGAGAATTTTATCAGGAGAGTGCCACAGGGAGCTGTGCTTCAGGAGTCCAGGTGTCAGAATTAGTTCTGCCCCTTCTTTGGGCCTCATGCTTTTTATCTGTAAAACCAGAAGGCTACACTAGGTGATTGGAGAGGTCATCTTCAGCTTCAAGGTTCTGACAGCAAAGAGCTTTTCCTGACTTTCCAAACCCCTTTTCCTCCCTGCCCCACCCGCTTTTAATTTTTCTGCTGCTCTGCGCTATACTGTGGCTGGAACCGCCCCCTGGGGGGAATGTCTGCTGAATGGAGTCTGAGCCTTGGGAGCAATTCTGTTTTATTTTATTTTTGTCACTCCTCTGAAATCTTCAAGGAGAAAACCCAAATCTGTGCCAGCGCCAAGGAGGAGCAACTTGGAAGAGAGTTGGAAATAACGAGAAGGGTAATCAAATCCTTTCAGGGTTCCAGAGCACGGGCGAGCTGCAGTCGGAGATTTAGCCAGGACTGTTTCCTGCTAGAAGGATTTGATTTGACTCTGAGCTGTCCAAGCTCCTAGAAGGTTCTATGCAGGAGCCAGCCTGGAGGCTCCAGCTGGTAGTATGAATTGGAGGAGATTCTCTGCTCCTTCCAGATCCTCTCTTGTCATCATAGTGTGATTTATGAGCTTTTCCTCTAAAATATGAGAAGACTGGCTCCTGATTATGCCCTGTAATGCAGGAAAGCAGTGGCTGTAGCATTTCTGATTAGCAATTCTCTTTAGACCACCATCTTGTTACAAAAAGGATACAAGAGGTTGAATACAGATGGATTAAAGTCTTTTAAAAAAATAATATGCTTTCAGTCTAGTTAGGTGTCTGGAGGATCTTTGCTGCCATCTGAGGGATCTGGGCTTGATTCCTAGATTAATTGCAACACACCAGCTGTTACGAACAGAGGCTGCTTACCTCTGAGCCTCTACATCCTCATATATGGGGCGAGAGTAGGGGAACGCTAGTAGCTCCTGCTTTATAGGGTACATATAATGTGAAATAATTTTGTGAAGAAGTCAGCACTGTGCCTGCAACAAATGATGGACTCCATAAATGCTAGTGATTATTACTAATTATTACTAGATGGTCTGAAAGTTTTTTGAAAAATATTTGGAAAGCATTTTTATAACTATGTATTGATATGGTAGGGCTTGCCTTTTTGGGGAGTGATGGCGTCTCGAACCAATTCAACACATAGGCCATGTCATAGGCATACCTGTCCAGCTTGTTATAGTTCAGAGAACAAAATGTAAACTTGGACAGGTTCCTGATTATAGTTTACACAGAGCTGTGCTTTCTTCCTCTATAAAAATGGATAATAATGTCATGGTGTGTGTGTGTGTGTGTGTGTGTGTGTGTGTGTACGATGTGGTATGTGGTGTATGGTATGTGTGTGCATGTGTGTAGTATGCTGTGTGTGTGGTGTGGTGTGTATGTGTTGTGTGTGTGTGGGGTGTGTGTGGTGTTTGTGTGTATGGTTGTGTTGAGTGAGACTCCCATAATCACAACACTTAATATCCTTGGGTAAAAGCACTTGGTAAAAATAAATAGTAATTTGTTGTACAGATAGTGATCTCCTGATGATCTAGTATGTGCAGGGAAAATCTACCTTCAGAGCTTAAATTTCATTTGAGGAGCTAAGGTGGATATGTCTCACATTCGTGAAAGAATTGAAACAACGGCAGGAGGCCGACAGAGACAAACTAAAGGTACCATGGGAGTTCAGAGTAGGGCTGGGAGGACCAAGCAGTCCAGGACTCCCTGGGAGGAACAGTATTTGACATAGGCTCTAAAGCAGGTTTTAAACTTTTCTGCTTGCCTACTCTTTAAGTGAACTCAGGGGGAAAAAACTCTCTTGCCTCATACATTTTAACTTGACATCTGAAATGTCTCATTATAAGTTTAAATAGTTACGAAGGATATCATTTCTACCATATTGTAAATATTGACCTTGTAGAATAAAATTACACTCTTAACTGTGTCAAATGGAAATGAAATAACAGGGCAATTTTTTATTTTGCCTTTTTATTGCAGGATCACTTATATAGAGTAGAATGCACAGATCTCCAGTATGCAACTCAACTTTTTTAAAAAAAGATTTTATTTGTCAGAGTGAGAGCAACTGAGCCCAAGTAGGGGATGCACAAGCAGGGGAAGGGGCAGGCAGAGGGGGAAGCAGTCTCTGCTGAGCAGGGAGCCCAAAGCTGGACTCGATTCCAGGACTCTGGGATCATGACCTGAGCCAAAGGCTAATGGTTAACCGACTGAGCCACCCAGGCATCCCACAACTCAATTCTTTTTTGTCAGTGTACCTGCCACCCAAACTGAGGTGTGGTCTATCTCTGCATTCCAGAAGGCTCCCTTGTACCCCCTCCCAGTCAATTCCTCCACAACAGTGACCATTTCTCTGACCTCCATCACCATAAACTAGTTTTGCATGATCTCATTTGTTCTGCCTTCTTTCGAGCAGCGTAAGTTCTGTGAGATTCAAGTATGTTGCTGCAGGTGGCAGTAGTTCATCATTTGTCATTGTTGTATAGTATTCCATTGAGTGCCATTTTGAGATTTAAAAAATCTTGTCTACTCTTAATGGATATTTTGGGTTGTTTCTAATATTTGGTTGTAAAACTACTCTAAATGTTCTATATACTTTTTGGTGGACATAAATACTGGATGTGTTTGGGGTAGGTAGCCATGAGTGGGATTGCCAGATCACAGGATAAATACTGTAACACATTGGTATCCACCAGCATCCGTCAAAAATTATCCAAATGAGTCAGAAATTTTATTTTGTGCCTTTCTTTACTTTCTTGAACTCGTAATTCCATTCTAGTTCTTTCACAGAATTTTATCCCAATATATTTCTATACTTGAAACTCTTCTATTATCATACTTCTTTTTTTAAAAAGATTTTATTTATTTATTTGAGATAGAGTGAGTGAGAGACAGACCATGAGTTGAAGAAGGAGCAGAGGAAGAGGGAGAAGCAGACTCCCTGCTGAGCAGGGAGCTGGATGTGGGACTCCATCCCAGGACTCCAGAATCATGACCTGAACAGAAGGTAGACACTTAACAAACTGAGCCACCCAGGCGCCTCAATCTATCATACTTCTTTTAATCTAAAACATGTATATAAACTGAAATAGACATTGGAAATTTTTCCTTTGCCCATAGAACTCTAAGTATCTCTCTTTTGGATTGATTTATCATTACAGTGATCAGATACACAGTTCATCAAAATAATATTGGTTATTTCATGCATCTGACAAATAATTACTAAACATAAAAGTAAGATAGTGTGGGAAATGCTCCTCATAATGAGATGGAAGGGGGTGGTTGATGGCAGTGCTTCTCCTACTTTAAGGTACATAGGACCATCTGGGGATCTTGCTAAAATGCAAATTCTGATTCAGAAATTCTGGAGATGGGGTCTGAGATTCTGCTTTTCTAATAAGCCCACTGGGGAGGCTGATGCTGCTGGTTCACAGGCTACACTGAGTAGCAAGGGTTCATGATCCCAAAGGAAGATGATTCCCTTGTACTTTTCCTACCTGTGTACCCCTGGGGAAGCCTGTGTGTACCCCAGGGTAGGGCTATCCCCTGTGAGGACCACTTCTCTGAAGGATGCTAAGATGGAGTTGGCCATTTTCAGACAGGATGCCCATTTATGCAGTTGGGACTGGATATTTCAAGGACTGGTTTGAATGGTTTTCAGAGTCCACTGGGGGTGAATTCCGACAAGTAAAGTTTGTGGCTGGGCAGTGGATGGTCTTGGATTCCATGCTAAGGAGTTGGGCTTAATACTTAGGCAGAAGGGGCTGTGGGGCATTATGAGCAGAAAGCTGGTATGAGCAGAGTGCTTTGGGGAGACTGATGTGTTGAACAGCTTGTGGGATGGCTGGGAAGGAGTTAAAGCTGAGGGCTGGCAGCAGTGACAACGCTATGGGCTTGAAGATGAGGTTGGCTGTAGTTATTGGGATTTGCCTGTGATTTTTATCTCCACCTCCCCAGCTTTTGAACTTTTGCCCTGGTTGCACAGACCTGGTTTGCTGTCAGTATTTCCTGAAGTGTGGGTGACATTCCTTTGGGGGGTACTTGAGATGTTTATGCACGGAGCTCAAGGTGATTTAACGCGGAACACAGACGTGGCCTTAAGTAACACCGAAACCCAAGAGTCCCCGGCATCCCCTTCTCAGCCTCTCTCAGCCCTGGTGGCATCTGGAGAAAGTCTTTAGCGCCTTGCAGGCTCCCATTTTCCTTTTGTTGATAGAGAGCAGGCAGCTTGGCCTCAGGGCCTCTGGTAAGCAATAGTCTCTAGATAGAATTTTACAAACTTTTTTGTTTTTGTTGAATTCCTTTTCTGTGTTGCAGGATGGCACGTGGTCCTAGTTTTCCCCTCACTGTAGTGACACAAAGCCGTTCATTTCAAATACGTTCATTTCGGTAGGAAAAGTGAGCCAATTGACTCGATCATATGGAAGAAATAATAATGCTGGCGGCATGTGAATACAGCAGAAGCCATGGTGGTGACACGCCATGGTTCAACTTGGGGAAACATGGGTTGGACCGTGTGACAGAAGCCAGTGCGTGCCATAGCTCTGTGCCAATGCCGGAGAGGCTTGGGAGGGGGGTCGTGGCGGTGGGGAGGGGGCTCTTCAGGAATTGCAGTGCCTCGGTCAGGGGCCCTGGGTCAGCCGGGTGAGTCCCACCGCGGTGCTGACCACAGCCTAACGCCTGCCCTCCCTTGCCTCTGCCCGCAGAGATCCGCACGCAGCTGGTGGAGCAGTTCAAATGCCTGGAGCAGCAATCAGAGTCCCGGCTGCAGCTGCTTCAGGACCTCCAGGAGTTCTTCCGCCGGAAAGCTGAGATTGAGCTCGAGTACTCCCGTAGCCTGGAGAAGCTGGCCGAGCGGTTCTCCTCCAAGATCCGCAGTTCCCGGGAGCACCAGTTCAAGTGAGGAAGGGGCGGGGGCGGGGCCTGTGTCTAGGGGAGGCAGCGAAGCACAAAGGAGGCAAAGACTCACTGGAGGCAGATGGTGTGCTTTTAAGGCCTTGGGGATGCAGGTTACCGACCCCTCTGTGCCTGACTTCCTGCGTGGAGAGTGAGGATAGAGGTCATTCTCATGCATAAGGATGCTGCAGGGAGTGAGTGAGGAACTCGGAAAAGTGCTTGTCGCAGTCAGTACGTGCTCAGTAAATTGTCCTTGTTGTAGCTATTTTCCTACCAAGCACCAGGCATTGAGCTAGTCTTCATCTGGGCCAGAGTGACCTGCCCCCTCCTTTCAGGACCTCGGACCCTTTTATCTGGGGACCAGCCAGCGCACTTCCCAACTCCCTTACACAGGGATCTCAGAATCTCTTCTCCATGGACTGAAGCTCAACGCATCCCTTCTGCTTACTCCGCTGGAGGGTCAGTGCCCCGGGCTCTTTCTCTCCCTCATTTATTTACAATATACAAACTTCCCGGAGTCCTGATTTCTCATGCTCCGTACTCTGGGTTTGTGAGTGCAGATCCCCTCAGGCACTGATGGGGCAGCCTCTGAGTCTGCCAGCAACACAAAACCTCTTTGCCCTGAACCCACTGGGGCCAGCCTCTTCCAGCGCAGGTAGGAGGTAGCAACCTCACAGGGATGGCGTTCACGGGGCAGGGTGCCCCTGTGCAGCGCTCTCTCCCTCTGCCATGCTCCCCGGACCTTCTCCTCCATCTCTCCAGCCAGTCGCCCTCAGCAACTTGCTTCAACCCCCGACCTCTGGGTCTGATCCAGTTTTTCTCTCTACATGTAAAAAAGCTGTGGTGTATAGAACACACATAATATAAAATCTACCATCTTAACCATATTTAAGCATACAGTTAGGTAGCATGAAGGATACTCACACTGGTGTGCAGCCGTCACTACAATACACCCCCCACGCTTGTCATCTGGCGAAACAGAAACTCCATTCCCGTCAAACACTAACTCTGCATTCCCTCCCCCTGCAGTCCCTGTCAACCACCACTGGACTTGCGGTCTCCATGAATCCCACTACTGTAGGGACCTCAGAGAAGTGAAATCATACAGTAGTTGCCCTTTCATGACTGGCTTATTTCATTTAGTACAATGTCTTCTAGCTCCCTCCCTTTTGTAACCTATGACTTTTTAAGGCTGAGTAATATTCCATTGGGCGTACAGAGCACATCGTGTGTATCTGTTCACCTGTCAGTGGACGCTAGCTTGCTTCCACCTTCTTCCCTATGTTGTTTTGCCTTCTGCTCTGGTCAGGGAGCGCTCTTCCTTTTAACTCCCGTAAACATCTCCCCTCATCTGTGCTACAGCATTCAAACACTCACTTTTGTGGAAATTGTTTTATCAAAGAGCAAAAATGCATTACATCTTTGCAAATACCACTCTTGTTTTTCTACCCAATGTCATTTATTTAGACTTAGCCTGCAGGAGGAAGCTGCTTCTTCTTCTTCTTCTTTTTTTTTTTTTTAAAGATTTTATTTATTTATTTGACAGAAATCACAAGTAAACAGAGAGGCAAGCAGAGAGAGGCAGGGGAAGCAGACTCACTACTGATCAGAGAGCCTGATGTGGGGCTCGATCCCAGGACCCTGAGATCATGACCTGAGCCAAAGGTAGAGGCTTAACCCACTGAGCCACCCAGGCGCCCCTGGGGGGAAGCTTCTATTAAAATAGCATCCAGGCACTGTCTAGGCCCTTCCACACACATTATCTCATTTTCTGGATAGATATTTTTGGGGAGGAGGGAGGGGAGAAAGTTTACCTTTTTTTTTTCTTTCCAAATGATGAAAGTAAAATGCTCATTGTATGTAATTTAGAAAATACAGAAAAACAAGGGAAAAAGTCACTTGCACAGTCCTGCCCTTCAGAAGCAATGCTGCTCCCATTTTGGTGCCTTCTCTGGCCTATCTTTTCATGATAACAACAGCCATGACGACAGTTTACTGAGTGCTGTACTGAGCACTTGGGGCCGGGTGGGGGTTATTGCTCTGTCTTTTTTTTTTTTTTTTAAAGATTTTATTTATTTATTTGTCAGAGAGAGAGATAGAGAGCGAGCACAGGCAGACAGAGGCAGAGGGAGAAGCAGGCTCCCTGCTGAGCAAGGAGCCCGATGTGGGACTCGATCCCAGGACGCTGGGATCATGACCTGAGCCGAAGGCAGCTGCTTAACCAACTGAGCCACCCAGGCGTCCCTTATTGCTCTGTCTTAAAGATGAGGACAGTGCAGCTCTGAGAAGCAGCTTGTCCAGGCATGTCTGTGGGCCAGTCATTTCAAGAAGATGGATTTGAACTGTCATTCTCATTCTGCCTCATCGGCCTGAGATAAGAAAGGGCCGGCTGCAGCCTGAGAACAGCGATGGGAACTGAAGTCTCCCCTAAAACCAGAGATAGAGACATAATCACAGAAACACTTATCTCTGGCTGAGCTGTCACTAGAGCCATCCAGGGTGGTGTGGTCAGGCTGCGGCTTCAGCTCCTGCCTATCTCCTTCCTTACCATTTGCAGTGTGAACGTGAGGGAAAGGGGGAGATGTGGGGGCATGAGGGAGCATGGGCGGGGGTCCCCTGTTCCCTCGCGTTGCCTGTAATGAGCTCGGCCAGCCCCTCATGGGTTCATTAAACAGAGGCCACCAGACAGAACAGGAGCCCCAGCTGGCAGTCGGGCCAAGCCGGCTGCTTGAGACACTATGAAATTCTAATTAGGGTGTGGGCTCAGGCCAGTGCAGCTGGCATCGGCCCTCTGCACGATGCTAATGTGGCTTTTGGACACAGGAGTCTCTAAGGGATGCCTGGACTGGCCCTTTGACCCCAGGGCCAACCAGTGCTGACCCGTGGCTACCTCTTTGGAGCTCAGTGAACAGGATCTGTGCTGGGCTCTAGGTCCTTTGTCCTGCTGTCCAGAGAAGGCTTCTCTTGCTGTCTTACAGTTACTTCATTTAAGAGTGTCCATCTCTCTGGCAGGTAGCCTCTCAGGACCTTGAGGGCAGGGCCCAGATCTTGTTATCTTATTCCCGCTGCAGTGGGCCCAGTGCCAGATAGAGATGGGGTGTTTGTGCATGAGCAGGAGCAAGGGAAGGAGAGAATGTACTTGGTCTGTAAAACCTACTCTGGCTGAGAGATTTTGTTTAGAGAGGGAGTTGAGTTGCCCAAGATAGCCCAGCAAATGAGTGGCTGGGCTGGGACGGATACTGTCTTAGTTCCTTCGGCTGCTGTAACCAAGTACCATAGACCAGGTGGCTTGTAAATGGATTTCTCATCATGCTGGGAGCTGGAAATCCACCAGTTTGCAATCATTTGATAGTTTCTTTCTTTTATCTTTTTATGTTTGATTGTTTATATCTTTCTTTCGCTAGAGGGGAAATCCCACTGTGGCGGGAACCGCCTCTCTTGTTTCCTCTGATAAATCAGGGCCTGGCACCTCGTAGGTCCTCAGTAAATACTGGCTAAATAAACAAATCAACAAATCCAGAGTATTACGGGCATACAGAGGAAGTACCGGGTCAGACTCAGAGGAGGTAACACCTGAACACTGAGGCCTGAAGAGCAAACAGGTGGCAGAGTTCAAAGAACGTGGCCAGAAGGCCTGGGTGCCTGCCCCAACTGTACCAGTTGTGGGCATGTCCCCCCTCAAGAAAAGGGACAGTGTCTGAGAGCAGGAACTGTGTTTTGTTAGTCTTGGTGGTTCAGCATACCACACAGTCCAGGAAAATCAGAGGCCTCAGTGATACGTGATAGTAGAAAAGAAATAGATGATGATGGTATTATCCTCCAGATGTTCGACCTGCCCCAGTTAAACCCTGAGTCCCGCCACTTGAACCTTTCTTGGAATCATGTGCTACAGGGTGCTCAGCCTCGGTGAGCCCAACCCTGACAGAGTGCCAGCATAGCTGCGTTCTCAGCGTGCAGACCGCTGATTCTCATTGGGTCTTCAAGTGGTAGAGAGCAGAGAGAGCAGGCAAGCTCTCTCCTGACTCTTCTAAGGACACTAATCCCATTCATGAGGGCTCTGCCCTAATCCTAATTACCTCCTGAAGGCCTGACCACCTGATAACCATCACACTGGGCAGTATATGGCATATATATATGTATATAATATAATATATGACTTTTAAGGGAACCCAGACATTCAGTCCATAACAAGAGCTTAGGTCTCTTGATCTTGATTCCTCCATTTGCTCTTTATCTTCCCAGGCAATTAAAAAAAAAAAAAATATATATATATATATATATACACACATATATATATATGCAGCTGCCCAGGAGGTGCTTTGATGGACATACATGTAATGCAGAATGTTCTGGTTATCTATTCCGTGTAACAGCAATACTTGGTACTAAAACGCAGTACCTCGTTGTTTAGGGGGTCAGGAATTTGGACAGGGCTCAGTCGGGTGATTTTCCCGCTTTATGGGTCTTTGACTGGGATCACTGATGATCAGTGGCTGGGCAGCTGGCAGCTGGGCTGGGTCCAAGAGGGCTTCACCTATGTGCCTGGTGTTTTGGTGGGCATGGTTGCAAGGCTGGGCCCAGCTGGGCTGCCTCCTTCCCTGTGTGGTGTCAGGGCCTCCGTACCTAGCATTTCAGCTGGATGTCTGACACGGTAGTTCAAGGCCCGGAGAGAGCAGTAGGGAAGTCCCAGTCTTCAAGGCGAGGTCTGGAACTGGCCCAGCACCGCCTCTCAGCCTGAGCTCAGCTTCAAGGAGATGGGAAAGAAAACCCTTCTCCCATCAAAGGATTTGCAGACCTCTTTGATCCTCCTCACTGAACAGCAGTCAGGGAAGGCATCTGGAGGCAGTGGCTTTTAAGCAGAGACCTGAGGGATGAGAAAGGGCAGCCCTGGAGGCAGCAGGAGGGGAGGAGAGGCCAGTGCAGCTGGAACTACTGAGGCACTGTAAGTATGGGGGAGCATGACCCCATTTCTGTTTTTGAAAGATGACCCTTGATTGGGGGTG